CCTCCACTGACCGCTCAGTTGGGTCTATCCGGGGGTCATCCATTTCTGGACGCCCGGACTGTGATTGCTATTTCTCCATGATCTCTTCCGGGACTCACCCCTTTTCTTGGGTGAACGCCCCGGCTCTAACAGCTGAATAAAAATATTTTTTTGCGGACGCTTGGTCCCCCTGGATCTCCATAATACCTTCTGGCGTGATAAATTTTAGTTTCTGGTGGTAAGTGGAGTGCACCGCTCCCCCGCATGCAGTCATGTTCGCCCCATGATCACGTTGTAGGGAGAGTCCATATCAATTACGACAAACTCGGTGTTGATGACGAAGGGACTCATGACAACTGGCAATGTGATTTTGCCTACGGACAGGGCGAATGAGCAGTTGAATCCGATGAGAGGTGTCCTGATCTTGGTGAGGTCCTTGAGGCTAAGACCCATCCGTTTTAAAGTCTCGGAGTACATCACTTCCGAGGAACTTTCAGAGTCTATCAACACCCTTTTGACGTCGAATTTTCCTATCTTCAGGGTCAAGACAAGGGCGTCATTATGAGGAGTCACTACGCCTGTCAAGTTTGCGTCGGAGAACGTGATGCTGGGTTCACCAGCCCTGGCCCTTTTACTGGGTGGCCCTCCATCATCCTCGGCTACCTTCCTTGTAAAAGCTACCCTCTTGAGGTCGAACTCGAGTTCCTTGGACGTGGGGCGATCCAGGGGACATACATGGATGACATCTATGACGTTGTCTGGCTCCTCAGTCGGGGCAAGGGTGTGTCTCTCTTCTGGCCTGGGCTCTATGTATTCTTTCAAGTATCCGTCTCAGACCAATTTTTCCAAGAACGATTTGTATACCTTGCAACTTTCGGTGCGATGTCCGAAATCTCGGTGATAGGAACACCTAACCTTTTGATCACCGGTGGAGGGATTGCTCTGCATCCTGGGCGGCCACTTGAAGAACGGCTCATGCTTGATTTTATGGAGCAACTTGAAGATGGGTTCCTTGAACATAGTATGAACCCCTTTGGACGAACTCCCTAGAGGGGGTAGCAATCCCTTTCGGGGAGTATCTTCCCGCTCCCTCTCATTTCTCTTGGATTGGAGGGTTCGGCCTTTGCTGCTTCCCATCTTGTCCTCGATCCTTGAGTATTTATTTATCCGGGCCATCAGCTCGCCCATATCCGAGGGAGTCTTCTTGATCAGGGATCGATACAGGTCCGTGTCCCTCGCCAAGCCGAGCCTGAAAGACGTCGCTGCCATGACTTCCGAGCAGCCTTCTACCTTATTTACCTCTTCCCAGTATCAGATGGCATACTGGCGAAGGGTCTCGGATTCCCTACGTCTGAGTGTTAGCAATGATTCAACGTCTTTGGGCCGCTTACTCCCCGTAATGAATCGAGCCAGGAATTGCCTCGTCAATTCCTTCCACGATCCAATACTGTTGGGGGGAAGCGCCTCGAACCACTTCATCACAGAGTCCCCCAAGCTCATAGGAAACACTCGGCAGAGGAATCGTTGGTCCGAATGATAGAGGGACATCATCTACTTGTATTGCCTGATATGGGCTTCGGGATCGGACCGCCCGTCATAAGTTTTGAACCTTGGCACGACAAATTTTCTTGAAACCTCCATCTCTCTGATCTCCCTGGTAAAGGGTGTTTGTATGACCTCGTCTTTGACCTCATCCTGGATAGCCTTACTCTTTCTCCTGGATTCAAACCGGGCTCTGAGATCAATTTCCTCCCTAACGGGATGTCTTCTGAAGTCTTTGAGTTCATCAATAGGCCCCCCATTTCCTGGGCGCCGTGTGGATAGGGTTGAATCCTCCTCGGACTCATCTCCCTTTCTCTGTCTAGACAATCCTCGCTGGAGGTCATCCAGGGCTAATGGCCTTGCCTTCCTTTAATGGTCGTTAAGAGGGTGCTCGTTGGCTCTCGGTCGCTTTGGGGCCCTGGAGCTTTCTACCTTGTTGTTTAGATGATTCCTTAGATCCTTCATTTTCGCCTCCCAAGCGGGGAGCCCCCGAGAGAGGAATGAGTCCCTCGACCCTTCGCCAGAGGCGACAAATTCGTTGAGCCGGCTTAGGACGTTTACATTGTCCTTTTTCAACTGTCGTAATCTATCTCCAAACTTTTTTTCGATCACCTCTGCCAGCTGACTAGCCAGGGGGCTGATCCTCCTGACCTGATTCCTATACTGGTTTGAGGGGTAACCCCTCTTGACTGAGTAAAGGCATTTTTATTCCCATCAGTGTGATCTCTTCCTCCGTGGTGACAGGGAGCTTGTAATTCGAGACTTCTTTGGTGGGAACCTTTCCCTTTTTGTCGAGTGTTCACCATGGTCACTGTTCTTTATAGAGAAAAAACTAGAAAAACTAGTCGTTTCCCACAGATGGCGCCAGATTGTGCGTGCTAGATCTTGCACAATATAAAAACGAGAACAGATCTCTCCCTTGGTGAACTCGAGTGAGTTAGTTGAGTGGTCAACCACGCTGCTTGGAACAGCCTATGAGATTCAGTGATAACCTAGAACGGTAATGGGAGACCCTCGCGGATCAAAGGAACGATCCAGTAAGGCTGAAGAAAGGTTCCTGGAACAAAGAAGAACAAGCTAGAAGAGCGCCGGAGTGTTTTTCGGCGTATCCCCTCCGACGATCAAGTCAATTTTTGAGAGAGAGGAAGAAGAAAACACTAAGTATAATTTGTAGCAAAAGTTTCACCTCCTGTTCTTGCCTTTAGTGAGGAGTATTTATACCTCAAATACTCATGATTGTTGTCAGTGTGGTCAGTAGGTGATCATTAGATACAGACAACGTGCGCACTGATTCCTATGAGGAATATCTTCTCTCTTAACTGCTCGGGACCCCGAACAATCAAGTCTGTGTCATCGGCCTGCCGACGGTTCAATGAGCTCCTCTCGGGGAGGATGCAATAAATGCCCAGCCTTAGAGACATTTATTGTCTTTCACTTCTGAGCCTTACCGCATTGAATGCAGTCTCATCAAGGGAATGATGTAATTAAATGGTTGTTTTCCCAAGTCGCGTGTCAACAAGGTCATGCGGTCTTTCTGTCTCTGATGTGACACAATATGTCACACGTCCATTCTTCATTGGCTGTGGCCCCTGCCTTCCTGTGCCTTCTGACACCAATTGTGTAAGACGAGGTCATGATAGCTAATCTAGTCTAGCCTAGGTTAGTGACCAGTGCATCAATAACCTCTGCTGGTGCAGAGAACTTCATCATGGATGAGAAGAGGTACATCTCGGAACTGAGGAAGAGGTACATCTTGAATCCGAGAGGGGGGAGGCTTAGCAACCGATGTACCATATCAGACTGAGGGTACATGTCGGTACATAAAAATGTACCGGATGCCACTCGATCCATGATAAGTACATCGGGGTAGAGGGGACTTGTGACCCCGATGGGTACGTGATCTTCGATAAACAAAGATCAGTGACACCGAGGACACGTGTCTTCATCTTGGAGTATTCCGAAAATGTCCCATCAGTATTAAATAAATAAAATTAATAATGCATAGACACAATTTTTAAGTGATAATGTAAACTAAAGGTATGAGAGTAAGGTGATCGTAAACATGAAGGGATCCGAAGGTAATTGGGAAAATGTGTTCGTGTTCATTTTTATGTGAGTGAGAGATTTCGGATACGGAGTTGAAGAGCACTTTGACGTTGCAGATAAAATAATAACTTAAGGAAATAAAATAACGTAGATGATTCAGTAGTTCACCAACTGAAGAGCTTGGTTAGTCTATTCTAATGGAATTTCTTGCTCTCTTATTTCTATTGCTTGAGGAAAAGGTATATTACAATAAAATTTCAGATATTTTTATGTAGGGTATATCCTCTTATTTATACAGGAACTAAGGTTTGCCTTCTTTTTAGATTGTGTGATCCTTTCAATCGATTAGATTTTTTTTTTTTTTTGAGAGAAATGATGAATTTTCATTAATCAGAGATATCCAAAAGAAGAAAAGGCACTTTGAACTCCTGTGTTATTTCTTCCCATACATCCGACTCGGTGAGACATCTTGCATACCTAGCTAACTGGTGTGTCACAAAATTGCCATTGTGCCTTACATTGTATAATTAAGGAAATAGATCTAAAGCCATTCATGTTTGTTTTAGCCATTCAATTGGTTAGAATATTGAGGAAAATATTTTTTCACTAAAATATCTCTGACAATATTTCATGTGTACTTCTAAAATTAATGAGACGTCATCTAGAAAGGCTAAGCTTCCATGGTCATTGGTCGAACCGCATGTGTAACGTACGGTGAGCTAGGAGGCTCTCTCCATTGGAAGAGCTTGTTGAAAATTAAGGGGTCAGCCCGGGTGGCCTTTATACTCGAGCTGCACTAGACGATGCCGAGCTTCGGTGACGCCCGTCAAGGAAGTTTACTGTTATTTTGGTAAGAAAATTACACTTAAAATGTGCCACAATTTTTTCATTTCTGAGAAATGATTTACAACCTGTTCTACAGCACTCTTGTCGGAGTGTTTTAGCCCACTCGAGATCAAACGGCAATCGGAACACACAGTAGGAGGACAGCATGGCATACACCTAGAAGCTTGACTCTCTCTCTCTCTCTCTCTCTCTCTCTCTCTCTCTCTTCCCATAACCCTATTTAAATACAAGCTTAGCCCACTGCTTTCTCCCATGCACTTGTCTTCTCCACCCCCACAACATCACTACTTGTGTTCGTGTGCACTAGTTCTCTCTCTCTCTCTCTCTCTCTCTCTCTTATCTTCATCTTCACAACAACTACTATCACTCCCTTTCTCCATAACTTGTCTCTGACACTCTCTTTCTCACCACTCAAAATTGCACATACAATCCTTTTTCGATATCCGATTCTGCTCACTGACAAATTTTACTCTCTTCATTTTGTGTCTTTACTCTTTAGGGATCTCTCTCTCTCCTCAGTTCTGTTTTAACTTATTCCTGACACATATACCAACTTATATTCATCTTTTTTCAACCATTTTTGTAAGATGTCTAACCGAAGGTCACGAGCGAGGCAGTCAGGAAGAGGAACTTCAAGGATTAGTGATGATCAAATCAACGATCTTGTTTCCAAGTTGCAACAGCTTCTTCCTGAGATTCGTGAGAGGCGCTCCGACAAGGTATCTCAATCAAAGTTTAACTTCCCTTTTGCAATGTGTAATTTGACCCTTAAATATGGTATTTTTTAAAATCTTTTGAGTTGTAACTTTAATGGCGGCCGATGATATGAGTAGAAAGCCTACCAATGCAAAAAGGTTCCGATTCAAGCGAAATCTCAAACGAGGAGGCGATAACATCTTAGATCGAAAACTCTACTCTTCTTAATAATGAGAAAGACTTTTTAAAATTCGATCAAATTGATTGATGAAACATCTCAAATATACTTTAGAGAGTAAAAGCGTAGTTAGACTTGTGATGTTTTTCAAAGTTAAAGATTTCATCTAAATATAGAATTCTGTGCAGGTTTCTGCAGCTAGGGTCTTACAGGAGACATGCAACTACATAAAAAGCTTGCATAGGGAGGTTGATGGCCTAAGTGAGCGGTTATCGGAGTTATTGGAAACAACAGACAGCAACCAAGCTGCCTTAATTAGGAGCTTGCTTATGCAATAGACCACTGTTTAATTCCTCTACTGTACTTACTATTCCTCTCTCTAGGGATTTATTAGTTGAGCAGCAACTGAGTTGTGCGTGGTTGATCAGAAATATCATTATGCAAAGGTCTGTTTGGGGTAAGGAATTAAGACAATAAGAGGAGGCTTGATGTTGCAGAAAGGCTCCCATTTTTGTGATGTAGGAATCCATCTCTCGAATACTAGAAGTAAGGTTGTCAATCACTTATGTCTCTCAAATTGTTATAAACGAAAGTCTTATGTACCGAATGCGATCACTATTTGATCTATATCAGGGGGATGAGTAAAATACATCCTTTTGTGTGTGGAGTACCTTATGATTGAATCTCCTCTTAATTAATTGTGCAATAATTAGAGGATCTCTAATTCTTTTTAAATGGTGAGAGATTTATTGATCCTAGAGTATTACCTTGCATTTTTAAATTCAAACTTAACTAAATTTGTTAATTTGACATTGGATCTGCAAAAGATGATGTATATAAGAGACATATGCCCATAAGGATTTAGTCAATGAATAATGTTATTTGAATCTAAAAATTTGACATAATTTATTGACAAAATGATGTGGTTTCATATGAATTATTAGATCAGTACCAAATTCTAATATTTGATGGGATCTACAATAAATCCAAAGGCTACTGTAAATTAGGTCCCAATAGTATTACTCTTAATTAATTATAAGCATTTTGTCTATACCGATTGATTTATTGTTCAATTTGAGTACTACATACCACAAAATCTAGGTCTAACTATTGCATGTGGTAAGATGGTGATTTACATTGCAGTCTTTTTTGAATTTAAAGCACACTTGGAGGCTATTAGTCCTTGATATCAATGGAAGCCGAAAAAATGGAAGAAGTTAATAGATAAACAGTTATATATGTCAACTTTTTGAAAGCAGAAATTTTTAGAACTGACGGTGCTCATGGCATTCGAGTATAGAGTTCTTGAGTTTGAATCAAACTAAGCCCACTCAATCTTAAAGTTAAATCAAGTGATAACAGTGACGAACTATAAATTCAAATGTCTTGAGTTCGAATCTTGACAATTTTTTGAGATCAGATCATGAGAATTTGTCTCTCGTGAATATATTAGTCATGTCGTGGATAATTTGTCTTTGATCAGATCGATGAGTGGATTAATCAAGATATGCGTAAACTCAGGGTTGGCCCTAAACATAGGCCACTTAGGTGGCTGCCTAGGGCCCCAAATATCTTGAATTGATGATCTTTTGTAATTGGGTGGTTTGAACTCAAATGACTTAATGAAATTATAAAAGAGATTCATACAATTACATTACACAATGACTCATTGCGAAAAGAGGGCCTAACAACCGTTCTATTATTTTTAATAATCTCTCAGACAATCAGATCGAATCTCTTTCAATATGTCAGACATCTGATAAAAAAAATAAGTCAGGCACATGTAAGTTCTCTCTCTCTCTCCCTCACACACACACACACACACAAACGCATACAGTATAAGTGATTGTTAATGTTAAAGAAGAAATAATTGGAGCACTCAAACAAAACTAAAATTTTTAGTAAGAAAAATATTCTTAAATAGAAATCATATTATTCCTTTAATCCAATATAGGTTTAAAATATTAAAATAGATAAAATGTTTTTGACTCTTAATTTAGTTTTAAAAGATTAAATTCTTTATATGATGAAAGTTTTGAAAAAATATGGTCTTAAACTTGATTTTTTTTTTTAACATAACTTATTTTATAGTTTAATTTATTTTTACGAAAAAATCTTAAAAACTTTCATATGTAGAAACTATAAATGGGAACAATGATATAATGATACATAAAAAGATTAGATTCTTTTTCAAATGCCTCAATTACTTATTGAATATTGTAAATAATGTCATTATGAGTTTATTCTACTTGAAGAAAAAGTTTTTTGAATTATAAATTGATAAAATTTTATCTACAACCAATTATGTTATCAAAAAAATGGAAGAGATTAGCTATATTATCTATTGAAAATTGTTTATTAGTAAAGTATCAATTTAAAAGCCTGATTAATATTTTAGCATCTCAAAAAATAAACAACATTTATTTAATATTATGTATATTATTCAAGTATATATATTAATGGGGCCTTATTTACCATTTCACCTAGGGCCCTGATAACGTTGGGCCGCCTTTGCGTAAACTAGCCAGACGCCAATGACCATTAAACTTAATAAAAAAAATCTAAGCCCACTCACTTATTTTTAAATTCAAACACGTTGACGTGGAAGGATCTCTCAAGAAGAGTCATATATAATAGGAAAAAACAGATAAATATTTATGTTTCACTATTCTCTAATAACTTAAAATTTTAAAGTGGATAACAAAAGTTTGTAAAGAATGTGTGAATACTCTAATTACCCTTTTGGAGCTCTTCACCAACAATAACCCTATGCTTGAAAATACTTTGCATATTAAAAATTAAACATTGATCTTATAATATTCATATTTTAAATATAAATTTATTTTTTTCATTTTTTAATAATACAATTTAAAATTAAAGTGAGAAAAAAATAAAATAAGAGAGAGGTAAAAGAAAAAGAAAGAGAAACGTAAGTGTGGATTAATAAGATTGTTTGGTATTGAAAAATATGTTGATGGAGTTATCTGACATTGAGAATTGTGCAAAAAAGATAATATTTTTGTGGTAACAAAAATTTTGAAATGAATTTTCTATCAATACATAAAAATCGAATCAATCTTGACCATTAACATTATTTTTATAAATGTGGATGATGAAATGATGGAATTCATGGTTTTCACCATCCCAACACGTAGACATATGTGTGAGGGATTTATGCATTATAAATATTATAGTCCTAGTATGGATGGTGTGTCTTTAATTGGATCGGAGAGTGAATTAGTCGAGATTTACGTAAGTTAATTTAAACACCTTCAACTATTAAACAAATAAATAAATAGAAACCCACCTCCCACCTTGGGTTCGCTCAAGCATACATAGTGGGTTTGAATATACTATTGTCTTCGGGCCAATAGTATATTCCGGGCTTTACATCTCCAACCAAACAATGGATTTAAAAGTCCATTAGACTATTTTAGCAGATCCCATCTTCTAAATCCCACTCAACCCAACAAATCAAACAGGGCAAGTGCTGTCGAAATCAACACTGGTGTGAATGAGGACTAGACTCCATAAAAGGGCACTTGAGGCATGACCAAAAGTAGAATACTAGGATGCTTCATTCACTTCATGGCTGAGAGTTGTTTACATTATCAATCACCGCACGAAGAGAATAGTAATGAGGTGTTGTTCTGTTGGTCCTTGCTGGGGTATGAGCACTCCTGGTTCATGCACTGAAAAAGAAGCACAATAGCTGCAATGGATAATCACCAAGATTGACTTTCTTCCTCCACTAACACCTATATGCAATACATTTTTGTTCAAAATAGCCTATATAGTTCATGTGTTTTGGGAGGACAGGTCATCTACAGTAGAGCAATAAAGGGCATAGGTAGCCATATATATATATATTTTATTTATTTATGGAGATGCATAGTTTTTACATTTTAGAAAAACAGCCATAAAGGGTGCTTATTTCTTTTTATAATGAAAAAGAAATCTTCTTCAAGTGTCAATTGATTTATGATGATACCCAAAAAAAACATTAGAAATAAGTCAAAGTTATTTAGGACACGGGTTTTGAGAAAAGTCAACCGATAAGGTCTATTCCCTGACCTTATGGTTGTACGTCCATCCTTAGATGAAAAATCAAAATTATTTGCACACATCCTCAATTAAAAGCGTTCAGGTGGCCCAAGAACGACTTTACGTACATGTGCCCAGATCGTCCATGTTGCACTTCAAGGGGAATCATCATCTCTAGCTCAGGACAAGTGTTTGGACTGAGCTCATTTACTCATGAACTAGCTTAAGGAACAGAGGGTCGTCCCAAAGCAAAATGACCTCACAGCAGACTTTTCTAGAAAAATGGAGGACCACAATACATTCAAGCTTGAAGACGGGTCACAAAATCACCTCAGCATGCTCTTAAAAATTACGTCACACTTAGGGAATGTAGCCTCTAACAGTCCATTATTCCCTCAACAAAATCCTAATAATTTTGGGGACCATGTGATGATGGCATAGGGACCACCCCACCTGTGAGTATAAATTCAAAGGTTTTTTTCCATGTAAAGGCATATAAAAGATCAAACAAATTTATAACCTTATTTCGTTCTCCAAGCAACTTCTAGTTTTTTCAAGGAACAAAATATTTCATTAGAGTTGATTAGCCAAGTTTTTCAACTGGTGAACCACTATAATCTATGTATTCTTACCCTTCTTAACTCGTACTATTTTTTTGGTCAAGTTTTTAGCTCGTACTATAGTCACTAATTTTATTGTGACATTGGGTAAAGCTAATAGGCTCCATCTCAAATCATCTTCTCCTCTACTAAATCACTTGCATATCATTGTTCACAAACCTTGAACTCTTCAATTTAAGTATCCCCTCACGTTTCGAGTTCATATATCATTAAATTATATCCTTCTTGTTCGTGTCAAATATTAATTAATCATATATTGTTAGACACCCTATGAATTAAAAATTCATTATGCCAACAAAAACAAGTGAAAAAAAAAACTAATGACGCTGAAGTGTTGAAATTAGGTTTTTCATAGTAGACGCTAATTCAACTAATTTATTAATGTTATTTATACTTTTATATTGAGAAATAGGACACCCCATCAGTGAACTAGTGAATGTTTAAAATATTTAGTATGTTTAAAATACAAGTCTAGATAAAATACAAATTGTATGGTTACTTGTTACACACCAGGATTCTCCCTCCGGTCAACGGAATCCGGCCATTTTGGCAAATATAGTGGCATTTGTCTTCTGTTGGGAAAGCACCGGTGACGCCTAAGTACCGCCAGGAGATTTCCCGATGCTAGGGGTTTTTATTTCCAACGCCGGAGAATCGCTAGAAATGGCTTTTTG